AGTCTCAATGGATTTACCCTCAAGTTCATTGATTCTTTATTCTGACTATTCAGACGTACTGTTGAGCCTTTCTGGTAAAATTCTCATTTCAGTTATTGTACTTTTAGACTCCAGAATTTCTATTTGTTTCCTTTTTTAATAGTTGTATATCTTTGTTGATATTCTCTATTTGGTGAGACATAGTTTGCTTATTTTCCTTTAGTTCTTTAGACTTCATTTCCTTTAGTCTTTGAACACATTTAAAATACTTGATTTAAAGTCTTTGCCTAATAAGCCCACTGTCTGGGTATCCTCAGGGACAATCTCTATTGATTGCTTTTTTTCCCTTGTGTGTGGGCCATACTTTCTTGTATCTTTACATACCTCATAATTTTCTGTTGAAGTTAAAACTAGATATTTAAAATAATATAATTCAGAAATTCCGGAAACCAGATTTCTACCCCCTCTCCAGGGTTTGTTGTTGTTGCTGCTATAGAAAAATACTTTGAACATAGCACAGGCCTTGGGCCAAATTCTCCTGAAGTCTGAAGCTCTTCTTTTGGAGAGTGAACAGTCAGAGAGGGCTTCTTGCCTGTGAGCATGGAACTTGTTTGAGGAAATCCAACATGAGTTGAGCACTTACAGTGTACTCTAATAATGATGCCTCTTTGAGGTTCCCCCAAACATCATAGGCAGGGGAAATGTTCTGCCCTCTTCACGCCTCAGCCTTTGGCTTGTCTCCCCAGAATGCTGAACCTGCAGATGTCACACTCAGTAGTCCAGATCCAACCTTGCCCATACAATTCTTGCCCAGGCCCGGACAACCTCCCTTGGAGATCCTGCTGGGTATGTTGGGAGCAAATGTCCAGCCTCTTCTCCAAGAAGGTCATGATCAGGCAAAATAATAATGATGCTAAGGCTTGATGCCAGTTGGAGTGATCAGTGCCCAGATATCACCTGGGTCAATAATTAACCAGGGGTCTGGGAGATGCCCAAAGGGTGGGCAGGGAAAAAACACATGGGTCACAAAGGGTCCAAGCCAAAGGAAGGCAGTGAGAGGGGCTGGCAGTCAAGCAGGGCCTTTCCCAGAGGCCCAGGTGGTAGGCACATCATCCAGGAGGGTCCTTCCTCCTTTCCTGGTGGATTTAGGGTTATTGGGAGGGCTGAGAGAGTAGGAGTCTGTCATAGGCACCCCCTGCCTGGTGCCAGACTAAACAATCCTTCTGAGGGCAAGAAGAGGATGCTAAGGCCTAAGGGCCTTCAAAGCCCCCCGAGCTGGCCTGAGATGTCCATTTGTGCAACAAGCATCTGTTAAATGCCTACTAGAATGTGATGTGACAAGAGTGTGGCCTTTGAAAACAGCCAGACCTGGGTTCAAATCTAGACTCTGCCACTAACCAGCTCCTGTGAACTTGGCTGGGTTTTAAGTTTCTCTAAGCCTTAGTTTCTACATCTATAAAAGAGGATGTTAGCACCTAGCTTATCGAGCTGTTGTAGGAGGGGAGTGAGATTGCATTTTTATAGAGTACCTCACGCATACCAGGTAATTAGTCAATGAAAGCTATTCAATCTTGTTGGCAGCATTGGATAAAGAAGAGGAATAGACTATGCCGCACTGCCTCAAACCTTCCTATGACGCACTCGGCCTTAATCCTGAAGGCCTGTAAAGCCCTGCATCCTGGGTCAAGTCCCCTCTTAGAAACTCTCACAGCACCTGTATATTTCTACAATTGCCTACATTTTATGATTAGATACTTATTTGTGTGATTGTGTGACTAACACCTGTCTCCCTCACTGGTTCTTTTGCTGCCATTTTGTGCTCAGTGTCTAGCAATTACTGGGGAAATGAATGAAGGAGTGAGCATGAGGTTCTGCCTTTCACACACCTCACTAGATGCACAAGCATGAAAAGACTAAATAGCAGAGAGGCTGGGGTGGGTGTCCAGGACCTCAGAGCAGGGATGAGGGCAGTAGGCTGGAATGGCTGGAGGCCAAATTGGAGTTCGCACCCAGCTCTCCTCTAGGAGTCCATCCAATAACTCCCTTGACCCAGCCTCCTCCACCTCCCCAATCCGTAATCTCTTGCCTCACAGCCACCCAGACTGAAAGCTGCATCAGTGTGGACTCTAGATAGGGCCATGGGGGTCAATCAAACCAGAGATGGGGCCACAGCAGCCACAGCCCCTGCAGGGCCTCAGAAGCAAGACTCTCTGTGGTTCAGTCACTTTGCCATGGGGCTTTCCAGCCTGGCATGGTCCCCCTTGCTCCCTCAGCAGTCCCAGCATCCAGGGCAGCACAACATAGTTATCCCCTCTTCCCAGAAACTGGAGTGGGAAACCAGGGGGTCAAAGTGGCACTCAGGCAGAAGGAGACTTCACCAGAGTGGGGAATCATGGGTCCTTTCCCCAGGGCTGTCCAGCTGCTGACCTGGGTCTTGGGCTACCTGGTCACTGCCCACAACCTAATGACTTTAGCACCTGTTCAAGGGGTCATCAGATGCCCACCCAGACACCAGGCCCCCTACAACCCCTTCCTTGCCATGGCCCACAGACTGCATGAGGTTAACCTCAGGCTTCTTCCTGGTCTCCTCTGATTCATTTTCCTGTCTCTGGCCGGATAATGGTTTGGGGTTTGGCTGGACCCTTCTGCTTGCATATGCGAAGACAGTGTTCTTGACCCTGCCTGCTAATGGGCACTCGCTGCATCCCAGGGCCACTTTCCCCTCTGGTTTCCTACCTGCCCCCTCCCTCCAGCCAGAAATCCTTGAGCTACAAGGTATCTGAATCCTCACCCCGGTAGGAAACACCCAGCTTTGTCATCTTCAGCCAAGAACAGCCAGGCCCTGGTAGCATCCTGGGTCCCCAGTGCCTACCCAGAAGGGAGCTCTGTTTGGCCTGGGCACGATGGGACCAGCTGGCAGGGGCAGTGCTAGAACACACTTTATTTGGGGGCAGCCCTTTGGGTTCCACAAGATGCCTTCAGGTTCATCTTCTCATTTGAACCCGGCTTATGTTCTTAAACCAGTTCTAAAGAAGAGGAGAAAACCAAGGTTCAGAGAGGTTAAATAATTGCCCAAGTTCACACAGCCAGGCAGTAAGAGATCCAACCCAATGACCTCAGTCCTCTTGCTCTGAATCCAAAGTGACTATTGTTCCATAGACTTGACACTTCTCAAGCAGCCCCTGCAGCACGTGAAGCCCAGGAAAGTCCTGATGAAATTCTCTGGCCTTCCTTTCTGGATACATCCTGGGGCTTCTGGAAGGCAGGTGAGAGGCAGGGTTTTTTGTCTGTTTTTCGCCAGTTCTTGAATAAAGGCCTTGAACTATACATTCCTCCCACAGTCCAGGTATCACTTAGGGTTCTAACCTAGCCCCATCTCATCAAAAGCTGAGGAGACCCTTCTGCTGAAAATACCTCCTCCGCTTGGCCAATGAACTGTAGTTATTAGATATACATTCCACTTGCTCATACCATTTAAGCCCCTAGAAAGCCAGCCATTAAATCTGGTCAGAATTTGCATCACTATGCCTTTGTTCATGCATTCAGTATTAACCTTTTGACATGCGTTTATTGAGCACTTACTGTGTGCCAGATACTCTTAGGCACCGAGATGCATGGAGGGATGCAGCAAAGTTCCTGCCACAGTTCAAGTCCTGAAGGACAGACAGACACATAAACGGGTTCTCAGTCTGTGGGAGCATGGGAGTTGAGGGAATGAAGCCTGGGTGGACCTCAGGGGCCTGTGTTGGGCTGGAAAGGATTCTCAGAGGGGGTGACTTTTAAGTTGGGTTTTGAAGGATAAAATACAAATAAGTTTCTTCAAAAATTTTTCTGAGGAGCTTTTGATAGAAAGGGGAGAGCTAGCTTAAGGGAATGATGACGGACAGGGTGGTAGTGGGGGTCGAGGGCACAGAGAGAGATGACTGAGACACTCGGCACTTAGTTCTGGCCAAGTTTGCAGGGTGCCAGTCCTAGCCCTATAAATTTGGTCCCCTAAGTGTAGAGACCCAACCTTTTAGGCAATACTGTCTAATAGGATTTCTGCAATGATACAAATGTTCTACTTCCGTGCTGTCCAACATGGTAGCCACGTGTGGCTATGGAGTCTTTGAAATGTGGCCAGTGTGGCTGCAGAACTGAATGCTTACTTTTATTTCATTTTAGTTACTCTAATCTTAAATTGCTGCCTTATCAGACAGTGCAGCTCTACATGCTTCTCACCCTGGATCACACTTCAATCACCTGAAACATCTTTCAAAATTTCTAATGCCTGGTGCCTGAACCTCACCCGTGTTGATTCTGTTGATCTAGGGTGTGGCTTGGGTATCAGTACTTTTTGAATTCTCAGGTGAGTCAAATTTGAGAACCACTGATGCAAAACTTTGTACACAACAATTTCAGAGGTGAGAAGGCTCCTCTTGTCACAACTTTGCCCAGGGTGTGTGTTTGGGCTATGCTGGGCCTTCCCAACACCCCTCTGTCCCTGGGAGGCCCCAGCCTCCATCTCCTCTCCATTCCCAGTAGGAAGATCAGGCCTGAAGGCCCCTCACACAGCCTGCTGGCTTTTTCCACCCTGCCAGCCTTGCTCACTTCCCAGCCCAGAGACGGTGCTCATTCACCTTACAGCCCTGGTAGGACCTGGCCAGCTTGCTCCCCTGGACAGCAGGGGTCAGTGGTCAAGAAGCCTGGTCCTTGCAGGGCCCTGGCCTCTTGGACAGAGCCCAACCATCTGTTTTCCCAGGCTGGGCTGGGCTGGTCTGCAGCAGGGGCCAGTGGCCAGGCCTGAGGTTTGGCTGGTTTCTGTCCATTTTCCTATTAAACAGATATGCAGATGAGTGTGTCTGGAACAGCAATAATGCAGGAGGTTCTGGTAATAAGACTGGAACTTGGAGAGAAACTTCCTTCCCTGTGTATCCTGGAAAGAGCTTTCTGAGCTGGGGCTCACCCAGCAGCTGCTGCCCGTCCACCCCCATTATTGCCGCCCACACCCCAAAAGCAACTTTTCCCATGACTCACACATGGCAGCTTGTGCACTTCTTTTATTATTAAATATATAAGCAGCTTCCTATTTTTTAAATAGATATTTAAATGACTTTATATAAAATAATTCACCACTTCCAAGTATAAAAACAAAATCTCACAGTGCGTGAGCCAATGTTCCCTCTCGGCTTTCTCAGAGAAAAGAAAGGGTTGCTGTGTAGGTAGCCAGGGGAGCCACCCAGAGGTTGCTCTGGGGCCCCTCACACTCCTGTGTCACCAAGCGCCCACAGAGAGCTTCTGCAATGGGTTGGGTTTGATTTCTTGATTTTTAAAATACTATATGTTTAAGGGTAGGGGGTAGGGGAGGAATGACTTCTTTCTGTGTTTTTTTTCTTCCACTTTTAAATACATATATTCTAGTATCAAATAAAGAGTCTATGACTAGAAGAAGGCGCCCCACAGGAAAGTTCTCCATTGTCCCTCCTTCAGCTGATGGCCACAAGGCAGGGGAGGCGGGGGCCAGTGGACTCTCACTTTCAAGGGCAGGAAGGGAAGGTCATGGGCTCCAGCCCAGTGGCCAGGTAGGTCGGGGTCTCTCAGCGGAGGGCCCAGGGCAGCAGGAGAGGAGGGACACTGCAGCACAGAAGGATCAAGGACAATCGGCAGCCCTGTTACCTGCTGCCCAGCTCTCAGAGCCGTGGCCATGGGCTGGCCTAGAAAGCTGAGGCCCTCAAGGCAGACTTGGAAGCAGATGCCTGGGCCCTCCTGGTCCCTCTCCGGCCATGGCTTGCATGGTCAGAGAGATGGTGGTATGGGGGTGGGGTGAGAGCTGGAGGGTATCACTGCCTAACCGGCTGCTAACAGGGACAACCTGCTCAGCTCTGGGCGCCTGCCGGCAGTAGCCTTGTGGCTGTCTTTGGGTCAGGGGCCTGGTATGGGGAAGGAGATTGAGTTGGGGGTCAGGGGTGCAGATGCCTCCCCCAACCTCAGGGGCATACCCATAATTTCAAAGACCCATTTCAGTCAGAGCTCACCCTGCAGCCTTTCTCTGTGTCTGTCTCTGCCCTCCCCTCCCCTTCTCCCTCCCACTAGTCACTTCCCTCTTGGGAATGTCAAAGTGCAAGATGCAGAAACCTGGGCGAGCAACGCAGCTTAAAGACCAGCTCTAGCAACGCAGCCTAAAGACCAGCTCTAGCTGGCGGCCCAGGCAGTTCTCCCACCCTGATCCACCCCCGGCAGACTCAACGGCCGGGTCAGCAGAAGGTCAGGGCTTAGGGGCTCCCTCAGTCGACAGACAGGCGAGGCCGGCTCAGGCACTCAGTGTAGGAGAATGGGGAGAGGCCAGAGGGGTGGGAGGACGGACAGATGTTCGTTCATGGGCAAGGACGGGGCAGGCTGTTCAGCAGGCAGGTTCAGTATTCACAGTGCAATGGCTTCCTTCATGAGGGGAGGCTCTGCGCAGCCTCCCAGAGAAGCTCTGGCAGGGCTGGAGGGAAGGTGGGGCAAGGCCAGAGCCTGACCTTCCCCTTGGCATCAGGAGCCAAGCCAGGCAGGTCCTGAGGGCAGGGTTGGCCTACCCACCTCTGCCTGGCAACCAGCAGAGGGCACTCAGGTGAGTGGAGGCTGTAGACGCCCGGGCTGTCAGTGCAGACCAGCAGGCCCAGGGGCCTTCTCTTCCTATCTTTTGGGCTGCACACCTTTACAGGAAATCCAGCCGACGCTGTCCCACCCTGTGAATATCATGCTTCTCTCTCTGGAGACAAGTCCCTGCTTGTCGGTGTTGGGATCCCTTGGCACCAGGCGGGTCCTCTGGGCACAAGGGCTCTTCCATTCCTCAGCGCCCACCCTGCTCTCCCACATCCCACAGGCTTCTGGGTCCCTGGCCCAGGTGGTGGCTTTGAGGGGAGTGGGAAGAGGACACAGCCCCTGGGGGAAGATGGTCCTCAGTCAGGCTTGCCAGCCTCCCTCGAGCAGATGGGAGCCTCCAGGGCCCACGATAAACATCAGCAGCGTGGGGGGCATCCTCCAGCCCTCTCTTAGTCAATCCAGAGTCTGAGGGTGGAGGGCAGAGGGATCCCAGCCTGGCTGCTCTGGTCTAGTCCTGGCAGGCAGGAGTGCTTGCTCATGGTGGGCAGGCCACATTCCCAGGAGAATGGCTGGGGAGGGGTGCTGGCGGATGCTCCCACAATGTCTCCTCCCATGGAGAGACTGTCCTGCACGCCCAGCTGTAGGGGAGAGAAAGAAAGGCTGGTCAGCCGAGTGGGAGTAGAAGGAGGGTCGCTGAGGACATGAGTGGAGGAGGTGTAGCGTTCCTGTGGGCTGTTGGTGGTGCTGGAGGCAGGACTTCCTCCCATCTTTTCCCTCCCTTTCTCAGCCACCCCAGACACCGCAAGGGACCAGGCAGCTTTCTCTGGCAGCAGCCCAAGCCACTGGACAGACTAGTCTCACCTCCTACCTCCTCCTAGGGAACCAGGGACCACAGGGGGAGGTAACAGGGCCTGGTGGAAGTCTGAACAGGCCAGGCAGGCGGTGGGGTTGGGGGGGGGGCTGTCATTGCTCAAGTGGAGGAGTCTGACAGGGAGGGAAGGAGGCACTTGAGTGTCTTTAGACCCCTCCTCAAACAAGACCATCTCACTGGCCTTGGTCCAATGAACCAAGAATGAATCCTGCTAATTCTAGCAAAGAAGAGGAATTTCTCATTCCCACCGCCAGACCATTTATCACAAAGCGTCACCACACGTGACAGCAGGGCAGAGGTAACTGAAGAGGAAGAATTAGAGGTGGTTCCAGGAAAAGGAAACTCCTGCCCTACCATCTGGCATGCTAATCTCTAGGCAACCCAGGCTCCTCCTGGATGGGACAAGGGACTTGCCTCCCTGCATCATCTATGGGAGTTTGGGTCCTGCTCTCTCCCCACCCCTCCCCTCCCCCATCCTTTCCCCTTGCCCAGCCTCCTCAGAACGCTTTGTTCCCAGAGCAGAAATCCCCTGGACTCCATCCAACAGTTTGACTTTGGGTCTTGTGTGGAGCTTGCCTCCCTGTCTGTCTATAGACCCTACTGGCAAACCCTGGGATGGGTAAGGAGGAAAGATGGGACTACAGATTCTGGCACCCAGCCTGTTCCCATGTTCTGGAGGGAGAGGAAGGGGGAATCATAAACTGGACATGAGCCACGCTGGGTACAGCCGGGCCACAGGCCCTGCTGGTGCCAGGAGGGAAGAAGGACCAAGTGGGTGAACTCCAGCTCGCTGCCCCTATCTCCTGGTTCCTTGGAGTGGAGAGGCTGGTGTCCGTTGTTTTCTTCCTGAGGGTCCCTCTCTCATCTCTCTCGTCAGAGCAGCAGTTAGTCTTGGGGCTGGCTCTGAATCCCCCTGAAACTCATGGTGACTGGCCTGGAGACCACCCTAGGGCTGGACACACTGATCCAAAGTGGGGGTCTGGATGTGGCCCCTGCCACATCCTGGGTTCCCTAAGTACAATCATGAGAGGAGGAAGAAGAAAGCTTGGGAGGGCCGGAGAATAGGCAGGCAGGGAAAGGAGATTGGGAGTGCAGAGGAGATGGGGCAGACGGCCAAGACCAAGGGCAGAAGCTGGTAATCAGTGGGGGTGGTGCAGCAATGAGCCACGAAGTCCCCAGGGACCTAGGTCCATCCTTTGCTTACCAGTCCGGAGGGAGTCTGGGTCATCCTCACAGCCCTGCCAGTGTCCCATCTGACCCACTCGCCCATCTTAGTCCACCCTACTGACAAGGTGGACCCCTGGATCACACATGTGTTACTTTCGCTCTTTTCTAAATAAGTTCCCCTGGTTTTGAGCATTTGCCAGATCCCCTATCTCTCTAGGAGTGGTCTAGACCTGTCACTCCACACGTGGGAAGGCCCTAAGGTGCTTGATTGCATATGGCACCGGGTGTGATGGGAAACTTGAATACGTCACCAGCCAGTCAGCTAATCAGCAAATTAGTCAGGCAATCAGCCAGCTAGTCAATTAGCCAGTTGGCTCACCAATCAACAACTATCCAGTCAGGTAGTTACCAGCTAGTCAGTTGGTCAGTGTCACCTGGCCAGCTGGTCAGCCAGCCAGTCAGAGTCAAATAGTTAGCTGGTTAACTGGTGAGCCAGAAGCCTGGTCAGTTAGAGACAGCTGGCCAAGATCAGTTCGTCAGTCAGCCCTGAAGCCAGTCAGTCAACATTTATTGAGTTCTTGGCAAGTAGGGAGAAGCGCTCTCTGTATTAGAACCCGGAATAGAAAAAGAAATGCAAAAATATAGAAGACACAGTCCCTGCCCTCAAGGAGCTTACAGCCTTCTTAGGGGTGCAGAATGTACATATACACACAAAGTAAGAATTTAAAATGGATAAAAACAACATCCTAATAAGTGCAAATTGATATAGTATTAATCAAATACAAAATAGCTGAGGAGTATGAACTGCAGGAGCAGCCAGCGGGAGGAGGGGGACAGTCAGGAAGCTTCCTGTGGGCTGCTTGTGGGCTGAAGGGCAGGAAGGGAGGAGGGCCAAGGGCCACCTGGAATCAGGGAGCCAGGGCCCAGAAGAAATAAGGGTCACGTCTTTATCAACAATGTGGGCAAGGACACTAGAAGGCACTCGTCAAGGTGCGGGAGACACACATGGGAGGGCTAGGAAGACAGAAGTAGGATTGAAAACAATTTCAATAGGCTTGGATGATGGGCAGAAACCAACAAGGTGGCTTTAACAAGGATGAATACAAACTCCTGCACTTTGGTTAAAAAATTAAGTTGTCCAAGTACAGGATAGAGAAGGTCTGGCTTGACAGAGGTTTATGGGAAATGGAACTAGGGGTTTTAACAAGCTCAACATATGACAACAGGGTGATGCAGTTGTTAAAAAAATACTAATGCAATCTTAATCTGTACGGATAGAAGAATACCGTCCAGATCAAGGAAGGTAACAGTCCCACCGTACTCTGAGCTGGTCAGACAACATCTGGAGCACTGTGTCCAGGGCTGGGCACCACATTTTCAGAGGGACATTGACAAACAAGTGTGTCCAAAGGAGGGCGACCAGGATGGTGAGGGGTCTGAAAACCATATCATATAAGGAATGTTTGAGGGACTTGGCCACATTTAGCTTAGAGAAGTCTTGAAGGGGACATATCAGAGGGCTCCCAGAAGAACAGGGAGGACCAGCGTGGAGGGGGCAGGGAGGCCTCACATGAGTAAGGACTTCCTCACGGTGCTATTGGGAGATGGCGGGGAGCTTGCCTGGGACTGGGAGTGTATGACTAGAAGCTGGCTGATTCCCTGCCAGGGATGCAGAAAGGGGAGGCCCCTGTGGGGTGGGACACCAAGCCAAACGACCTCTAAGAGCCCTTCCAAGACTAAGGTTCTATGGCTCCATGAATCTAAAAGCAGGGAGGCAGAAATGATCTTAGCTGGGGGGCAGGGTCAAACGAGGGTGTAAACAGAGGGGAACTGGCAAGAGATGTGTGTGAGGGACAGACGCTGGAGGGGCTTGGGAGCCAAGCAGACAATGTTGGGTTTGAAGTGGTGGTGACGCAGAGCTACTGAAATTCCCCAGGAGAGTAAAAACCTTACGCAAGAGGATTTTGGTTGCTCTGGCATGGAAGGTGGGGATAAGACTAGAAGCCCAATGCAGAAAAAGAAACCCACTGCAGAGGTAATAGTGCCCGGCCTGAGACAGGGTGCAGGGAATGGTGAGGCAGTGGGGAGACCTCAGGACCCAGAAGGGAGAGTGTTGGCTGGCCCTGGGGGTGGATGGAAAAGGGAGTAGGAGAGAGGGGAGGGAGTCAAGTGTGTGGGCCTCAGGGGAGTTGGTGGCATTGCCAACAAGTTAGGGTGATTGAAAAGGGTGGAGCTAATTTAAGGAGTGGAGAGAGATCTGAATCAGCCTCTTACCTGAGGATTCCATCTATACTGGCAGCTCCACCTGTCTGTCCTCATCCTGGGTCAGGGGGCTGCGGGCGGAACACAGAACTGGCTTAAGACTTCAGCAGGGGCCAGGGAGTCAGGGGACCCCCTAAATTTCCTCCTCAACCCCCTTCCCCCAACATGTGCTCCAGCCCTTTCAGATTTAGAAGACACAGAACTGCCTAACCCTAAGAAGACGTCAGGAAGCAGCCCAGACATCTGGGAAAGAAGAGGTGCCCCTCTTCTCCACCCTGCATCCTGTTCTCAGCTCCATTTCCTCAGAGCAAGTGAGAGAAAATCTCCCCAAACAAAGAAGGGGAAACAGACACCAAGAGAGGCCCCTGGTGCCTCGCAGAGCCCGCCCTCCCTGCCCCCTAAAACTCTCACCTGTCCTCTAGTCGCTCCATGGGGACATCCACTGTCTGAAGCTCTTGATGGCTCTGGGGACAGGAAAGAGCAGGCTCACTGAGGAGCTGGGGGAACGTGAGGGGACAGGGTTGCCCAGGGAGTCGATGAGAGAGTTACTCCCCCAGCTACTGAGAAGTAGGGATCAGCCAGAGGGCCAGGGGAGCTTCCTGAGACCTCCCTGCTTACGATGTCCCGTCTCCTCTGCCCAGGCAGCCTGTCGCCTCTTCTAGGGGGTCTAGGCTCTGCAGAGCTCCCGGTGAACACCCTGCCCTGACACACACAGCCTCACTTTCCCCCTCCATCTCGCCTCCCATCTGAGTCCTCACCTCACTAGAGCCCAAAGATATTCTCTCCCACTCCCTTCTGACGGGTCTCTTCGCATTGACCTAACAGTCTGAGCCTTTCTCATTCTTGAAGAACCCTTCATTTCAACTGCCCATCCTCTGTGCTCAGTCAGCCTCCTGTCTCTCAGCATCTGAAGAACCCAGGCCAAACCGAGTCATCCTCTGACCTGCTCCTCTACCCAGGCTGTGCCACTGCCCCCACAAGACGCCCTCCTCTCCCTCATGGGGCTCTGCTTACCCGCCGCCTCCGCCTGTAGAACAGGAGGCCTCCGACGGCCAGCAGGACCAGGATGATGCTGGGCACCAGCAGGCGGAAGACAAACCCGGGGAGCTGGGGGTCAGCAGGTCCCACGTGCTTCGTCTCATGGCCTGCGTCAGTCAAAGGAATGGAGTTAAACCTGGCCAGAGGCCTGGCCGCCCTCTCACTTGCTCGTCCTCCTTCCAGCTCAGCAGGGCTCCTCCGATCCCTGGTGCTCCTCTTGCCCTCCAGCTCCCCAAGGGGCAACACATTGCCCCAGGAGTGGCTTCTGGGAAGCCTTGGATGAGCAGAGAGGGTGGAGGGACGGCTGAGGCCTTGTGTGCGCAGTGATGGGGTCCTAGCAGAGCCTGGCTCCCGGTGGTCTCTGGGTGGGGCAGACGAACCATCTGTCTTCTCAGGTCTGTAACTCTGGGCCCGGCCAGTGGGTCTCACAGGGCCCACCTTGGGTACTGGGGTGCCAGTTACATCCACCGGTTGCCGGCCCTTTGCCAATCCAGAGAATGCAGAAGATGCTGAGAGGAGGTCGCTGGGTCTGGTGGTCTCTGCCTGGACACTGCCTCCTTCCAGCCTGGAGGAGGAAAGCTCTGCCTCTTGGGGTACTGGACCCTCACTAGCCACTCCGGAGGCTTCTTCTAGGGCCCAGTTAGGGTCCAACACAGAGTCGAGAACATCCTCTGTCCCAGGAACAGGGGCCCCGACAGAGGGGCGGGGCTGAGGTGAACCTGTGGCAGGGCTGCCCTCCATGCCTGGGCTCTCAGACAACTCAAAGCTCTGGCAGGTGCTCCTGGGTGGTCGCTGCTTGGCACTGCCCGGGTCCACTGTGCGAAGAGGCTGCTCACTGGGCAAGAGGGAGCTCCCCTCTGTCCCCTCAGAGTCAGCCCAGGTTAAGCCAGTCATAGGGGCCATGGAGGGGGTGAGGGGCTGCTGAGGGGAGACAGAGGCCAGGTCACTGCTAGGGGTGCCTTTGGGGTACAGGCAGTTGCAATCAGGCTTGGTCACCACATCTGAAAGAACCACAGAGAGAGGGAGAGAGAAAGACAGGGAGAAGATAGAGTCACCAGCCTTCAGCACAGCTTTCCCAGAGGGGGTCAAGAGGGTGATATGGGTCTGGGGGTCCCCTCATCCCCTAACTCAGCCCCGTGGCTGAGGAGAGCACAGGACTGAAGCCGATGCTCATGACACAGGCGTTAGGCAGGGAAGGTGCAAACTGCAGGGTCTTACGGGCAGAGAGCAAAGAACAGGTTTAGACGCACAGACTGGGGGTCAGGGTCAGGGAAGACCAGAGAACAGCCCATCCTGGGGTTCCAGCTGGGTAGACACCAAGCCAGAGGGGAGCAGCAGCGAGCCAGGAGCTTGAGCAGTGGCCTCCAGCACTAACACAAGACATCCAAGCCCCAAGGACACTGTGTTGGTTGGAAAGCAGCAAGGTGGTTTCATGCACAGCCAGGGGCCACAGAGCCACAGCCACAGGTGGGAACAGGCTGGGGCTGGAACGTGGCCAAGGCTTGAGACCTTGGAATTGAAGCAACAAGACTGGACTTGGCCATTGGCAGGTCGCAGGGCCTCAGACCGTGCCTTGGGGAGCAAGGTTGGATGTAGGAGGGCACATGGCACAGGACGCAGAGACGAGGACACGCAGGGTACACATGTGCAGCTGGGCCAGCACTGGGAGAGTTTGAATGATGCTCAGCCTTCGAATCCAGCCTTGTCCCTGGAGGAGACACTCAAGGCATCCTGGGCACTTCTGGAGCCAGGGTATCCTGGTGATCCGTAGCAGGGCTCCTGGAGAAGGGCCCTGACTCCCAGATGGAGCCTCTCTCTCTCATGGAACCCCCCAGGTGTTCAGCCAGCCTGCAGAGCCGGTGGAGAAAGCCTCCATGCCCACAGGGCTCTCCGAGAGGGGCGCCCTTTTCCATTCCCTAATCTCACAGCCACGAGCATGATGCTTCTTGATGCCTTGACATGCAGACATACGTAAGTGTACATGCACACACATGTCAGAAGAGACATGTGCCCAGGACCACCAGAGGTACATGAAGCCACATATGTACACAAAACAAGCACGTCTACACACACAGGAGCACAAGTAGCAGCCAGGCTGCCTCCCGGGGGTTCCTCCAGCCCCCGTCTCACCTCCCAATCCCTGCTCTGTTCCCCATCCCACCATCCCCCCCCACTGCCCCCCCCCCCCCCCCCCCCCCCCCCCCCCCCCCCCCCCCCCCCCCCCCCCCCCCCC